TTCAACATAACACTACGCAATTTCTTGCCCTGAAGTCAACTAAACAACGATCTACGCATGATGAATTTTACCGCGTGGGCTTTGTACACGTAAGAAATTCGTACGTTTTTCGTTTATAACAGTAAATCAAGAACTGTTTTGAATAAAACTGTCGTCCCGAAATATCTCTTGTCCTCTCTTGGTCATTTTCGTCTTGCTTCCTATTAATAGAAACCATGAAACTTGTGATCTCTTCACACAAGGAGAAATTTGCATACTTCACTTTGAAGTCTGATCCGCATGCGAAAATATTTAGCGAATTTTATCTTTCATCTCGATTTTTTAGTAAAAAATCAATTGCAGGACAAATAATCGCCGCAATGCAACACATAAACTCCTTTGGGGGGCAAATATTTCATTTGCGGAGCAACTAGCAATGCGACACAAAACCTGCAGGAGACAAAAAAACTGCGATCACGATCGCCAACGGGAAGTACGAAAATCGGACGATATATATAGAAGACCGAAATGAGTTGCAAGCATTCTAGAAGGTTTCTATTGTTACAGACATACGGACGGACTTACACTCTGGATAGCGTAGTATCTACGACTTCACAGAAGTCTGTAGATACAAAAGGGAGTTAAGATCGGGGAAAATCGGATCAAAATCGATACGTTGTGGGCTCGGATTCTATTGTTACAGTCACTCAACAGGACAGCATAGTAGCTTACGCCTCTTTTAAAGGCAGTAAGCTACAAAAATCAAGTTTCAAGTTTAAAGATAAATGTGATGCTCAGTTCTTCTACAATGAAAATCAGAGGCAAACTTTGACGATTATTCTCACCTGCTGGTCGAGGAAATCGACAAGTTTTCCCAAAGAACAACTGATTCCGTCAGATTTTATTTGTTGATGCAGTGAAACCAACTCTAATGGCTGTGAGGGAAAAGAAACAGACAAGCGCCACATGAAATACATGCATAACTTTGTTTCTTAAGTTAGACCAGTTCTCCTTTCTTCTATTTTCAACACTTCTAAAAGATGCGTCATTAATTCTCCCTCCTCGCTCGAAACCTAGCTCGCAGGAGAACCAGTTGGTATTAAAATCAAGTGTTTATGTTGCACACCACTTTAATCACGCGAAATAACTAACACAACAAACAGTAACGTTCTCCTCGACTTTCGTTTTTCACCGCCTTGTTTTTCTCGGGTGATGCTATATCGAAGGCGCTCGTCGAGGGTAAGAGTAAACGGTAAGTTTGGTCAGCGGGGAAATTATGAAACCCGCGAATATTTGCGAAAGCCT